TACTTTGGATAATCTCCAACCGCTCCTCCAGATTGAAGTTCTTCGTTATTTAATTAACTCCATGAAGAACTCTTGTCGTTTCTTCTGAAAAGGAGAATTGAAAATTTTTCAGGCAATCATGGATTATTATTCGTTCTCTGGAGTTTTAGATTTTGTGGAGACTATTTTAATTTTTTATTAAAGAAGAATCTCTTTGCTGGAGCTACACTCCAGATATTACAGAAGTTCATTTCGCTGAACGAAAAGTTTTTCATTTGTATCTCGAGATCTACTCAGCCGGAAGGATTCGTTTTATCCACGCAAATTTTCATCTGTCGTCACGATTTAATTAATTTACCGCTCACTCAACAATTGGAATAATTAACGCCGATGAATCCTATGTTTTTACCCACTGAATTTATCATAAAAAAATGATGCATTTGTTGGAGTAAATAAACTTCGCCATATTATTATTGCAATTGACAATTAAAATATGTTAATGGGAAAAATTAATGTCTGATTGTTTATGGTTATGATATTTGAATTATTGGGCAGGCGCTAAAAATCGTTATGAAGGGATTGGGTGTGAGTGTTTGCAGAACAATTGGTATAATTATCGTCAATTGATAAATGTTGATTATACGGCGCTCTTAAGCCTTGAACTGGATATCTGTATGTGGAAAACTGGGCATGAGTAAAGTACGCTTGTCCAACGAATTAATTCGTTTTGCACTCGACCAGTGCAACTCGTAAATTAGGTATACGTGGCGTACCGGGTAACAATAAATTGGTCGAGCGTTAACTCTTCTCTGTCTCCCCTGGGAACAGCTGCTGGGCTTTTTACACGATCAAAATGCCAAATACCAAATACACCCAAGCACATCTTTTCGAATTCTAGAACATCTCGTCTTTATTTCACGCTTGACTCTCCCCTATCACGTCCTCATCCTCCTGACTTTTTCATTTCTCACCTCATTCATTTTACAATCTTCTCCTTCCGCAACTTCAAGTTGATTCAATTTGTTATTGGAGAGATGAGGCGAGAGTTTATGACGCACGATATGAACATGCTCTTCAATTTATTCCTCAACCAGCTGCAAAAATGTTCTCCATTTTTTTTTACCGGAAACGGAAATATTGGCTCAATTTTTATCTCTGGAGCTTGTGCAATTCATTTTTTTTAACTGGAGAGCATTCAGGTTGTTGATGCAATGTCGATTCAGGAATTTTGTTGTCTCAATTTTGTGATGATCGTTGAGTACGAGTTGGTTGTCGTCACAATTTTTGTCTGTCAATCGAAACATCGGGGAAATTATTGAGAAGTTATCGAGACACTCGGTGTGACTAATGGAATTTCATGACAAACTAAATCGCTTTCAAGTCACATATGTACACGAGTGGCATTTCCCAGCGTGCGGTCTTAAGCTTCTTACTCAAACCCATGATAACATCTCTAGACTTATGCCCGATCATCGGCCTTGATCGTTTCGATCAATACCGATCAATGTAAATCAGCCCAGAATCATTTATCAAACCCAAACTATCAATTTTTACCCAAATCACTTCAAAATCAAACAAGGATTCAATTCAATTACACAATTCCATTCCGGCATTAATATTATTAATTACTCTTCAACCGGTCATGCCAAAAAAAAAATAGCCATCAATTAAATGCAATTGCACAATTAAAACTCATCATCATGACGATAAACATTATTTATTTATGATTTAGCATTAATTACATTATCAATATTATTAATTACTATTGTTCCTAAATTTTTCCGACAACCCATAAATAGGGGAAAGAAAAATCGGCAAATCATTTTCGAAGCGCCTTAAAAGCCAATTGGTGTCTCACCGGGAAAACCATATCTCCTCCATTTTCTCCATCCCAGTCACGATTATCCAGCAAATCACTATCGACTCTTGTCCCCGTGTCTACCTCCTCTACTTACCCACCCCCCATTTTCCTTTATTGCACTCAACATTTTCACTGCTTTTCCACCCCCTTACATCTCCTCTCCCCCTCCTCACGCCCTCTACCCCCATATTCTAGCCGCCCACTCATAAATACGCAATTGACGAAGAATGGAATTTTCAAATTGCACTTGAAGTGATAATGAGAACAAACGTGTGATGATTGTGGGGGGTGGGAGGGGCGGAGGTGCGGTGAGGTGATGAAAAAGGAGGGGAGTGGAAGGGGTGAGGAAGGGGGAGGAAGGGGGAGGAAGAAGTGGTGAATAAAAAGTGATTATCCAATTTAGTACGCAAGTTAAAGTACTTTTGATAAGTGCGAGGGCTTGAACAAACGTGAAAACACTGTGCAATAGGAGAATGGTTGAGAAACGGATGGCGTGGGCAGTTGGTGTCGGACACAGTTAAGGTGTACGAAGAGAAATGAATGGTTGTTGTTGGAAGAAGTGAGAGGATAACAACTACAAATGGAGGGAGTGGGAAATAACCACACGAATGAAAGGAGTGGGAAAGAACTCGCGTGGCAGTCGCGCGTGTCCGATCACCTCGCGAGAGATGAAAGTTGAACCACAAGGCACCTGCGGAGGACATGAGCTCGAGCTCAGGATCATCAACGACTGAGTTAACATCGCCCACGTTCACTAGAGATGTATATGAGATTAGAGGATGTGGGTGGAATAAGAAAATGGGCTGAATTCATTAGATTTAAAAATTTATGGATTATATTTTTGGGGGTTCAGTTGGTCAATTTAAATATTACCGCACCTCCCCATCTCGGGGATGTCATTGAATCAATGGAATAATACGTTAGATGTTTTATTCTGGATATTTTAAGTGAAATTAAAATAAATTTCCCCAGGTTTTCTTGTACTGTGAAATTTTTCGCGCTCATTTAATCCGCGAATGTTAAGCAGTTTTTTAAAGTGGGAGTTGCATGAATTTTCGGTTTAAATTAACTGAGATTCTCGGGGGACAGGATATGTAATATTCATAGAATGTATGAGAGGTACAGCTGGTCATACGATGCAGGAACCGGCCAATAACCAACGAGGGCGTTTGCGATTGACCGGCAAGGTTAATACCATTGGATGATTGGCTACATTGGTAAATTGATCGTCAAGTTACATCGAGCAAATGAGGATATGCCCGGTTGCTGGGGATCTGATGCTGTTGATTGATGAACAAGGGATTTTTGTGTAACGTGAGAGTCCAGAGTCATTGATACGCTCTTCAAATTACCACTCATTACCTCATCATTTTTTTTAAATTGCACTGAGAAAAACAAAGTTATTCCTAAATTCACTCATCCCTACAAACAACATAGTATTTTTTCTATCATCACGGCGTTATTTTGTAATAAATGATCTTATCAATCAAACGCAATGTGATTTTTTTTAATATCTCCGGTGAATTTATGGTGATGAACTAACGCGTCATTCGGTTCCTCGATGTTTCCTGATCGTGTGGGTAAATTTATTTTCAGGTGGGTGTCAGGAGGTACAGAGATCAATGCACGTGGGATGCCCGGTATGCGGTTGTTTCAAAATAATAACAGTAATGATCTAAACCCAAGAGAAATTCGACAACTGAGAAAAAATCCCGTTAATCTCTCTGGATTTTAACGGCCAGTCCAAATACAATTCGATTATTACACCTCCTAGATCAATCCCCGTTGTGAATTCAACAAATATACTTTCAAATATATAATGAAATAATATCGAATATGGAATAATGTTATATCAAAATTACTACAAGGTGTTAAAAGGCGGACTTTATGTCACGAAGTGATGAATTAGGATAAGCCAATGTTTCTCGATCCCAGTTTCTCACTGATATCTCCAGATAGAAGAATCATAGCGATTTTTTCGTAAAAACATTTTTTACAGATAAAGATGAGAGCTACAAAAAAGGTATCAATGAAAAAATTGTTATCTCCCTTCAACTCTGAGATATCGGCTAAAAATAGATCTCCAAAAATATACCCTTATTTTAGTTCACCACTTCACAACGGAATTGTAAATATTACGATAAAATAATATCGAGTACAGAATATATATTCAATGATGTATTCGTTGGCGCGTGTGGAAGGGCTTCGATAATGGATATTTTCTGGATAGCTTCATAATTTAAAGCACCGGGGAGTGATAGAACTCGTAGACGATCCACTAAAAGTTTTCTGGCCTGGAGCAGACACAGAGTAGAATGCCAGACACACCAAGTTTTTGCTGGATTAGAGGGGACGAAAAAGTTACCTCGGGAGATGAGAAAAAAAGAAAGTGATTTCTCGTGAGTGGAGAAAGACACTCGGAATGTCTCGTGATCAGGCATCTAGCCACAAGGATGAGTCAATATATAATGTCTTATATCCACTTACCTGTGATTTGTGGAGGTTGATCCCTCTGGGCTGTCAATCATCCTCTTCAAAATACGGGACAAGACTAAATCGTGAAATCGATAATCCCAGGGAGAAATTCCGAACGAACAAATCGCAGAATTCAATATCGGGAGTCCTAACAAATTTTCATGAATTATTTTAAAATACTGATTTTCTACGTGAATATTATAAATCAAAATATATCATTTATTATTGATAAATAATAAATGGTCTCTTCCACGAAAATGGATAAGAATTTTTTTTATCCAGAATCTTAAGTTTTGTAATTACATTCACATGAAATTTATAGAAAAATAAATTTAATTAGAGAATATATGAATATTTATAATTATAGCGAACTCCGCATTTCAGATTTGATTTCAGAGAATAGTCTCTAAAATGATAAGAATATTCTAAAAATCTGTCAATTCTCATGTAATGAATTCGGATCTAATTGCCAACGATTTAATACCAGGAATTATTGATTTAGCGATGTTGTCACGTGATATTCACAGAAGATATTAAAGGATTGGTGGGGCTTGGCCGTGTCCTGTCTAGTTTGAAGCTCATCTCCATCGCCGTCTGTTGCCTCTCACACCGGATCCCGTCACGTTTTCATTCCATCAGCTGCCAGTTCATCTTCACAGTCACTGGAATATAATCTCCGTTGGTATCCGGAAGTGTCTCGTGTGATGTATGCAGAGAGGGTGATCCCTGATTGTTGGCAATCAAGTGAAGTTCTGAATGGTTGATATCGGTTATCACGTTTGCTGGACAATTTCAAGGCGAATGAAGAACAAATTATTCAACGGAATCACGGGATAATTAAGTCTGTCACTCTGAATTTTACGTGCTGTAATGTTTGGGGGTGAAACCTCGGGGTGGCATATGTGTCCTGGTATCACGCAAGTAGCTCTGGTGCACTGCCAAGTTGTAAAAGAGTGTTGATAAATTTACGAGCACACGGTTGGGAATAAGAACTCCTCCTGACTTTTTTTTTTTCCCAACGGGAACCAACCGTAACATTTTTTTGAAATATCGCTCGCACACGTTTTGCGGTTAAAATTTTCTCGACTTTATTTTTCGGTAAATTTACATCACGGTGGGTTAATCTTGTTGACTTATGGATGTATTTTTTATGGTTTTCTTGCAGATGCCATGAGGTGATGTCAGAAAATAGCAACCGGAAGAGAATCTTCATGTGAAAATGGCGAAAGGCTCTGAGAGACTACCTGGTACCTCCACGAGGATCAGAACCAGAGACGACGGCTGTTGCTCCGTTAATTTTCTCAAATACGTTCTCCATATTTACAACGTCGTATTATTTGTGAGTCTCATAACATTTTTTATCACTTAACAATACTATTAAATCCCAAGATTTCCTTGAATATCCGAGAAACTCATTAATTCATTAACGAACAACTCCGACGAAATTTCCTGTCAATTTGTACTTCTGAAAAATTCCTGTTGAATTGCAGGGGCAATTTTCGAAAGCTCTGGAGGAAATGAAAATTTCCTCACTCTTACCTCAATATTAATGAAACATTCTCCCGAGTTTGAACTTTAAGTACAAAGTAAGCAAATTATTACAGAGTGGCGATAATTCAAGCTTTCCAAGACAGTTTTCGTTGCATTCGGGATTAATAAACTATAACGCGATAAAGAGGATAAGTTTCAGGACTGGAGTAATCGGGATAACGAATATGTTGATGGGTGAAACTCTATACCTCAAATTTGTGGTGGGTGGTGAGTGAAAGCACGTGGCAGGACTCGATAATGCACCTGATAATGCAACAATGCAGCCACAGAAGAGAGCTTTGTAGCCATTCTCCAAACTCCAGGATAGTTGAATGAACAATACCTGAAGCCGATACCAACGACGGAACGATGTTGATGCATTAGCGACTGAGATAGTACGCATTATCAACTAATAGAGCCGATTATCATGTACCAGTAATTGGCAGATGCAATTGTCCTGGCATATATGGGATAATGGTATTTTTTTTCATGTTGGAAACTAGTGAATTGACTCGTTCCTGTCGGCAATATTGACTGGGGATATGGGTCGAGTGATTTTTATAATGAAACGCGACTTGTTGAGGTGGAATAATCGGTTGCAGGTGATTTATCGAGAGTTTTTATTTGAGCGACGAGACTTTATTGAACAGTTGATTCAATATTTGAAGTGGAAGGATAAATATATTTATACGAGAATTGAGGGGGATTCTACGGGAGAGCCGATTTGTTGTTCGTTACGATTGAATAAATTTAGTTTATTTGGTACACGGAACTTTGTGCTCGTCAAGTTTTATTTTTACGGGATAAATACAAATTTTTCTGTGTTTTTTTTTAATATTTACGTTTTATAACATTTTATAATCATTTTTTTTGGGGCATCCGATCAATATTTGTTAGAAAACCGAAAAAAAAACTCGGTAATTTTCTCTAAAGGACGAACATTGTTAATCTCTTGAAATAAGGATTTGAATTTCTGTTTGAATGCATTCAAGTAGGAGCTGTACCGGCCAAACTTCACTGTCTTATTTCGACATTAAATATTCACAACTTGTAGACCCATCACTCGCTTTCATTTGGCCACAGAGGACCATGAATTTATCATGATCCATATTCCTCGGTGCACATCTCCTCAGGATTTTTCTACTCTGTACTTCACCTAGCCTCGTTCAAATATTTATTCGTCGACCATTATTTATGCCCCAACTCCTACCTCATTGAAAATTCAAAAACGAAGATGGAGCCCTCCTTTAATATCTCTCAACGTCCTCTTACTCCTCTTATTTCTCATCTGTTAACATTTCTTCTCCACGGTTACATCGGCAAATAAAACTGAAATAGAAGTAAAAATTATCCAACTCTGCAAATACCCGAACAATGAGTAAACAAATGGCACTTAAAATTCGGTGAGAGAAAAAGAAAAACATTTAATGGTGAATTACCCTGATACAAAAGAGCATTGCTCTCTATTCGCGCACCTCGACTTTTTAATCTCACCTTAATCTGACGAATTATGCTAAACTTTTGATAAAGTTACGTCGACTGAATTTATACCGTTTATCTGGAAAGGTCACTCGCAACTTTGGAGCAGTGAATTCAACTCGAGTATAAATTCACCCGACTGGGTGTAAAATGTAATCTGCAAACCGTTTAAGTTATCGTCGGCTATTGTGGAAGGAGAATTCAAGAATAGGAAGTCAATGCGGAAGTGAAACACCGAATTGACGAAGACAATAATCAAACTAAATCCACAACGTCCACGGAAATTGCTAGATTTTATTGCACAGCAAAATGAGTAAATACAATAAACGGAAGGAAAGGACAAACTCTGAAGTCGTAACTTGTGCCATAATCCGAGGATTTGCGGCCGCCCGGCATTTTTCTTTGAATTATTCTCAACATTATTAAATCATGGAAGAGGATAACGCAGGATTGGTGGAATAGTTGGGATAATTAATGATGAGATTTGTAGATGAGAATTGTCGGATGAGAGTTTACCGAGGAATTGATCTCGTACTCGATATATTTTATACGAGAGTGTAATGCTTGGATAAAAAATATCTCGACTGTCACTGTCCCACGTCTCGGGATCACATCCTAGACATTCCGTGAATGTTTTATGTAGCTCAACTCACTAAATCGATTTTTAGATAGCATCGGTGTTACGTACGAAGCACCAAGAGATCACGTCTGTGTACTGTCCAATTTTCTCTAATCGATTAACTAGATCTTTCATCAACTCTTGCACGTTGAGATATCAACTTTATGCTTTCGGAGGTTTTTCCAAAATTTATTCAGCGGAATAATGCCGGATAGGGGAAAATGTGGTACAGAGATCTTTACTGATATTGGTGGTACACGCTGCATGCGAGGAGACGCAATAAACTCGTACTCATTACAGTCCCCAGTTATGAGTATGAGGACGTGGGCGTCGGGGATATTACGCGAGTGAGAATAATTGCGAAAAAAAAGAGTCAATGAAGTTATTTCATTCAATTGCTACGCGAGAAATAAAACGTACGTGATGCCCTTTTATGTCACGACAAAAGGTCTAATTTCGATTTTTTTTTGCAGAGAAAAACCCTTCTTTGTAGTATCGAATTATTTCAACTACCAAATCCATTTTTTTGGATTTACTCACCTCGGACAATTAAAATTGAAAAAATTGTCATTTTCATTAGGGGCCCAGGGGTGTGGGGCCTGATCTAGGATTTTTAGTAGAAGAAAGTAACTTTTTTTAAATTGAATTTCTGGAATAATTGGTAAAATACAACCAGTGATTTGGAATATATTAGCCGCTTGAATAATATTAAAATATTCAAAAGTATCAGGAAATAAAAAGTTGATTTTTTTGCCACTGGCTCTGATGCCTGAGCTATCTCTAAAAAAAACCATAAAAACCCATAAAGTTTACTGAATAAATAATTTCCAAACCGGAGATCGAAGTAACTTCTCACAGATACTGTTTTTACAGCGATATTTCGATCCTATAACAATATTAGTACCAAAATATTGATTTTGGCTTTGGAATGAGTGCTGATCTTGACACACCAACTCCGAATTTAACTTTCACCACAAATGTCTGCTCAATTGCTTAATACCACAGTAACAAACTTGAGATGAGTCTTATTCAATGAAACAAATAGGTACACACGCACCGCGCAGGTACAACTCAATCCTTGGGTAAAATATGATGAAATAATAGGTGAAATAAATGATGAATATGAAAGAATGCACGAGCTCCAGGAGACATAATTCCTATGAACATTCGGATGGCACCTGCTATAATACCCAACAATCTACACCGTCTAATTCACACATGGTATTTATTTATGTGCCTGGCGTAATTATCCAGTGGATGTGTATGTATTGCTGCATGCAGTCAAACCAAATACGGATCTAGCTCAGCGAATTCCCCTTGGGGTCTATTTACGTATGTGCGTCAGTTCAATGTACATTTGCATTATGTACGTGTGCACACCCCCTTGTGCTTTAGAATTTCACTAGTCGAAGTAGCCAGAATGTTATACGCCCAGTGTAGGCCATACAGTAACTGTTGGGAGACTTGATTCAGACGTCCTTTGTGAGGTACTCCAAATTCACAAGATACAATCTACATTCTGATAACCCAGAGTGGCTTAATGTCTTACAAATTCTCCATGTACTGAGCATCACAAATCCAAAGACTCGTTGCACCAATGAAAAACCTCTGTACCTACACGGAGAGAAAAATACCGGAAAAATTACGGAACTTTCGCGTATTCGTGGGGTGACCTTGCTTTTCGGGAAAAAGTACTGGAGGTACCGTAAAATTGTCCGGAAAGTTTCGTAAAAATTCCTGCTCGCTACGAAAATTTTTACGGAACTTACAGTATTTTTTCCCGAAAACCAATGTCACCCCACGAATACGAGAAAGTTCCGTAATTTTTCCGGGATTTTTCTTTCCGTGTATAAACCTATAATATAATCCCTCGGAATTACTCCAACAACTGAGTTTCCATTGAATTTCATTCACCTGGAAAATTCAAGACAATTGAAATAGATTTTTTCAACAGCTTGGATTATTAAACTCATGATTTTCAATACCAATTTGTCAATGGGAAATTCACTTTAATTACTAATTACTCAACGAGCAAGAATGTGTGGTAATTTAGTGTTCTAGATGGAAAATATTGAATAATAATGGAATATTCGCTTTTTACTTTTGACTAATCGACTCGCTTGAGATAAATGTCCTACTTCACATTCATGGATGCATTTAGCGCAAATGAATAACGATTTGGTTGAATTTCCGTGGAAATTCGTAAAATTATGTCTGAACCGACTGAATTCACATGAAAACATCATTGAAATGAATGAATCTATTTATCCGCATTAACAGCATCATTCCAGTAAATAAACAAATGAAGAATTCCCAATAAATTATTAAGAAGCCAATTAATAAATTCTCCACTTTCCCCCGAATTTATTTCCATAATCTGAGAGAGATGAATTTCCGTGATCCAGTGGCTCTGAAAAATCGTCGAGTGGTCCTATTATAATTTCTCAACTAAAAAATATGAAAGCAATGGAAAAACTGGTTTTCTGGAATTTGAACATCATTACGCCCACACATAAAAAGATGAAGAAGATGAGCTCATATTCACGCACGCAAGTTGTTCCATCTTTTTCTCTTCTTACCTTCGACTTCCCGAAGCATTTCATCCTCAAATAAAGTCTCAAGTGTAAGTGTCCAAGAAATTCTTCGAGCTGCCACTTCAGGAGAATTTCTGAAGGCCATAAAAAACCTTCGAGTATATTGAAACAACCTTTTTACGACTGGATAAAAAAAATGTCATGAATAATTTGTGGTACTTTTTCATTTTCTAGCTGTCTGGATTAGTAGTCGGTGGAATAGGAGTATGGACGGTTATAGCAAAGCACAGTTATATTTCGCTGATGGCTACATCAACCTATCCAATACTTGCTTATGCTCTCATTGTTGCTGGCGCACTAGCTGTGATTGGTAGCTGGCTCGGATGTGGAGGTGTATCTTCAGAAAATCGTTGTGTACTACTTGTGGTGAGTGAAACAAGTCATTATCTCACGTGTCTTCAAGTGGAAATACTCAATCTGCTGTTGCTGCTTCTCCACCGGTTTCCTTTAAAAACAAAACGGCAGAATAATTCTAATAAAATCCCCACTCATTAAAAAAATTGTATTCCTAAAAAACATCTTGTCATTATTATATATAATAATCTATTATTTATCATATCGTCTCTTATGATTTTTCACATTATATTCGTGTAGAATTTAAATGAGTCATTGCTATTTTTTATTTTATTGAAATTTTCTGATTTTCCTCAATTTTTCATAACGTTTTGAAATGTTGTGCATATGTTCACTGAGATCGTATGAAAATTATTCCAGTGATAAAACATCGCGAGACATTAAATAATAAAAAGCTTCCATTCGGAAGCAATAAAACTTCAAAAAGCTATATTTTTTCACGTCAATTTAATCAACCGTTTGTCTGAAATTTATAAAAAAGTTAAAAAATGAGAAGATATCGACAACTCCAGATTCAGTATGAAATCAATGTCTCATTAATTACGGAACGTCATTGACCCCCTGAGATCAGCTGATAAATATCGAATAGCGGAGTTAAGGTCATTAATATCCTTCAAATTCTCAGGCACACCTGAAGAACACCAATTGATTATTGAAAAAACAAATGGGGTCTTAATACAGGTAGCAGTTTTCGTCACAGCCGATTAGTCACTCTCTAGTTCGTCCATCCTCCAGATTAATAACCTCCCCTTCCCCTCTGATTACGGATGATATACCTGAAACGACCAAGACACCTAGGGAAGTAAATGGGGTAGAGGTTATCGCTCTTTAAGGGAGAATGTGCCCCAGCTGACGCTCAATCCATTTAATCATGTCTTATACTCTCACTTCGTACTTCTCCCTGACTTTTCTCTCCCTATTTTTATACGAGCTGTTGCAATCATAAACAAATTACGTTAATATTCATCCGATGTTGTAACGCTGAGTTTCTACCGCTGTGGACAGTATAATTTCGTCGCTAGCACACAGTTGATAACAAGGTTAACGGACCTGATTGTTCGAAATTACCATAATAGCATTTAGTGCTGGAAATTCGAGTGAACAATTCCTTGTTCCCTGAATTGCCCATTACCATTTTTAATTATTTTTCACATATTACAAGTAACTGATCTTGACATTAATTTAAATCCGGAATTCTCCATTTATCTCCATTTTGCTTCCGAATGGAAACATTACAATCATTCAATTTCTCGATTCTCTAATTTTACCTGGAAATGACGTAGTATGGTCTGAAACGTAAAAATACGAAGTTTGAAGACCGTGTGGGTATGTGATGATGGTCAGCTAAGAGACAATTTTTTACAAAAGAAGGAGAATAAACGGGTAAATTAATTCCTAAAAATCTGAAATTCGGTCAGTTCATAGGTTCTACTATGGACTTCATTTGTGCTAAATTTCAGCCCGATCGGTCGAGTAGTTTTTGAAATATCTGTGATTGTTTCCGAAAAGTTTTTTGTAAATATCTCAGGAACTATCCAACCGTTTACATTTTTCATCCTCTTGAATTGTTCGTCTCAATGTGCTCTATATGGATCAATCAGAATATATGATCAGAATATCTACTCCCACAAAGTTTTCGAGATATTCCAATTTTTATTACAAAAAAAATGCGATGTACTCCCTCATTGATTTTTTAAATAAACAATCAAAGATTTCCATCCAATATTCAAAAGAATTTCAATTCCTGAATTAATACGACCACGAAATTACTATTACTATTATTATAAAGGTCTTGAAACTCTCAATTCACATAAAATTGATTTCCATTTTTTAACAAAAAAAATAGGGGATTCTCCTAGATATTAAATGAAATTTTGAGTTTGGATCGATAGAACACTAAAGTCGTGAAAAATAGAGAAAACTCAGGTGATTATATCCCTGATTCTTTCAAATGTCGGAAAAATAGGAAGAATGGAAGGAATATCTTGATTCCCCTTTTCAAAGATCAATGGAGGGACTAGCAGCAATGCATATCCTGCCTGAGGCTTGATTTTCTTCTCATGTTTCCAACATAATTAAAACAACGGAGTGTACCATCTCGTTGAAAATTACCCCCGGCGAGTCCCAGTGAAATCCACTTGAATAACCTTTGCCCCTCTTTCTTCAATATCCTTTGACGCATCACAACTTCTTCCGTTATTCCGTACAACACTTGTAATCCTGAAATTCTCGTTTGTAAGAAAGAGGGTTTTACCTGCTATAAAGTCAGTAAGAACACCCGAGGGCACTTCGCGAAGGCTATAGACTCCTTTGAAGGGATACTCCAAGTACTTCCTCATTTCTCTATTTAAGACATTTCTAGCCGGTGAAGTTGATCCACTTCAATCAATTGACCAAAAAGTAAAAAAGAAAATACAATTCCCAGAATGTTTTCTATACCTTCTCAAAATTCGCACTTCATTCGCTTGAAAAATAAAAAATTGAGCATGAATAAATAATTTGCCTGTGGTAAATCGATGAATTATCGAATTTTCTTGTTTTGCGGTGAGTCAGAAGTTGCACTCCACTCTGGTGATTACATTTTTTTCATTAATTTTTAATAGATGCAAATTGATGTGAAGGGTGTAATTTATAAATTCCATCGAGTGGAGCTTGGAGTTGTCAGTTTGGATCGACTTATCAGGATGGATCTTGATAAACCAATGGTCGGGGACTGGCCAACGCCTCGAAATGGGTGCGAACCAGTTTCCCCAGAGTTATCAGAGCCCAATGCTTCAGGCAAAGCCGCATTACTCCCTAAGTACCCCCCTCTCGATTCCGCTCTTCCTCATGTTCAAGTACTTACCGCCAATTTATGCTGGTGAACTAACGAGCATCATAGTCTACTCCATCTCCCTTCCCTTAACACAGATGCAACCTCCATATAACTCGTAAAACCATAGCCATACGTCACGTCACGCACATCTTCCGCTCATAAAACCCAATTTCTCAAAATTATCTATTTAAATTTCCAAAAATCATCTTCCAATCAACAAAAACAACTGCAGCTGACAAACCCACAATTATAATCACCCAAAATCATCCAAACAACGGGAGATACCGATATTTTTGTAAAGACCTTTTTTCTGCTCCTGATTTCGCTCTACAAAAAAGGTATCAATAAAAATTCCGGTATTTCCCTTCAGTCGAGAGATATAATCACTTATAATATAATCATTCCCGTTTAGTCCTCAATTGACTGCAGAAATGATCTCTTGTGGGAATTTTAATCGGAAAATCTTGTGATGAACGTCATTTTATTCATCTTGTAATCCATCCTGTTTGCTAAACCCTTGAAATTGGTCTAGAGGATGAAAATCCCGTGTATCTCCATTGAACTCGGGCCATTCAAGACGCATTATTATCCGCCTGGAGAGCATGCGAGCAATCGAGGGCGGAGATTCAAGATGGAAAATAGCGATCGATGATTTTGTAATCTCCCGGGATTGACGGTATTCGCAGATGTATTACATCTTGCATTCACCCCGCTGCAGATTGCATGTTTGTTTCTTTTATTCAAGACATATATTTTCATTTCCTCCATTGGGCGAATAGGTAAATCCATGAGAGACGTTTCCTACAAATTTCTAGCTGAAGCGACTAGTTCCATTTCACATATATCTGCCCCATAAATGGTAATACAACCAGAAACTCAAAGATGGTATATAATATGGAATTTTCCTAATTTTCGAGACCCAGGGCATGATCTACCATTTTTAAAGCGGCATTTTTTACCATAAATAGGCGAAATTTATATAGAACAATTAAATCAAACGATATTAAACCGCAATATTAATATTAATAATAATAATTATTATTATATTAATAATGTTAAATCCAGAATCTCCATTACAGAAAGAGTTATTAATTTACCTATAAATATTACTCAAAACTTATGTAAAAATCGGAATATAAACGCAAATCTTGAGTAAAATGATTCATTACCGATGTTTCTTTTCTATAAAACATTTGTTACTGAGTCTAGTCCCTGGATAGCGATAGTATTTTTGTATTTTACTGTGGACGTTAGTAATTGTTGGGCGGATTGAGAGAGTAACTCGTCTGTGTTGAGTCATTGAGTGCGGGCGTGTTCAATCAGAGAAGGTAGATAGTGTGGGTTGAGATGAGTTTGGCTTTGATATCCCCCAACCTAAAGAGACTTAACGGATAGTCGAGCTCATGGAGGTGGTGTTGTAAATTCGACTTGCGTCGTCAACCCCCAAGAAAATAGTCTCTGTCATTGGTATATCCGAGGATCATCGAGTGAATTCCAACTAAATAGCCACAATCCCATACATCGATGTCTTCTCCACAGTGATACCCTGGAAGCCACTGGAACAATGACCCAAGGCCTTGAGAAATCCATTGTCAAAGCCCGATCCAGATCCGATTGTACTCCTGATAGACCGCTTTAACGTCGGGTATTGGATTTCTAATCAACGGTACATCTAATTTATGGATCAAAGCTGAACGCCTATTGATAGTCACTCACGTGCCACTGACGGAGCCAATCCATTTTCACTCATACTCCGCTGAAAAATATCCCACGTATTTTCCATTTAAATAATTATCCATTTGGTATATCAATCGTTTTATTCGAGAAATATCGGGGTACAGACGGTGGCTGTAAATATTCGCTAAAGTACCGCTGCAATGGCTCACTGCCATCCAGATCTGTTCTGCTTTTACCTATAGATACCAACTGTCAATTACCGTATAACGTCGATCCAATTCCCAATTCATGGTAATATATTTCGCCTGTTCCAGGTCTACAATTTATTATTCTCCTCCTATGTTCAATAGTGTCGTGATGGCTTGTAAAATTTATACGGAGAGAAATATCCGTGAGAAATTACTGGTTTCTTACCGGTTAATGTGAAATATTCCAATGTATTGATTGGAAGTCTTGGGAGATGCAGTAAAAATGACTGGAGTTATCGCGGAATATTTATCTCGCAGTGCAATAAAATTCATTCCTCTGATTATCAATTATCCCCGAAGTCCTTCTAATGATTCAGAATTAACTGCTGAGAGAATTAAATATTCGTGGAAGCTGTGGAAATTTAACTGGATCTGCTCATGAATTTTTCAGTGATTGATTCCACACTTCGGCCAGTACCGCCAGCTTTCGGGAGTCTTCGTTATTCGGACAGCATATGATTGGTGGCACGCGTGGGCCTATGTACGCACTAAATTCACCGAAATGGGACCTACGAAATTTTGCTCGACTGAAGATACATATTTGGGATTAGCTGGGAATGTTACTCACCAGTTCGGTCATTTTTACCGCGATAATCGTATGAGTTTTTGATGGAAATTTGTGAGAGTAGATAAATAAAATTTTTCTGCTGTCATGTTGACTTGCATTGCGGCTGGTACACCACCGGGACCAATTATTTGCCGCCCCACATCCATACTCAGGGATACATATCGTATCCAACGATCCAGACAACACCGGCATTTACGTTTACATATTTCGTTTTGGCAAGGAGGCAGATAGTTGTCCCTCCACCGTTCGCCAAACGATTTCCTAAAGTGGTCAATGCTGGACCCAATCCTGAAACCAACTTTGCAAATACATGCGCGAGAAACTCAGCCTCATTACCCCATGCAAATAACTCCGCCGGATATGGCGTAACCAATGGCGCCCCATCGGATGCATCTTTTGTGTATCGATGGACTGGTCAAAAATAAAAGACATCCCATGGAAAATTTTTAATTAAGGACAAAAGAGATATACTTCAATCGACGGAATTCGTGTCGAGAACATTGCAAAAACCCTTCGGCTTTTATTTGAAATATTCCCATTGGAAGATCAAACGGCTGACGTGGGTGAATTAAAAAAAAAATTACCCGTTTCCAGATCGAGGGAATGGCATCCATTATCCAATTAATATAATTATAAAATGTCAATGTTTTTCGCTAGAAAACTAGAATTTTCATCAAAATTATCTCCATTTTTTAATTTATAAAACTAGTCAGATTTTTGAATATGATATAGTCGATGAGATTTGAATTTATCTTTCTGAACAACAACAGTTCATAAAAATGGCGAAAAAGAGAGTGATCATTTACACTTTAAATTTTTTGCAATTTCAAATGAAAAAAAAATGGATTTTCCAGAGTCTGAGAGAGAATAATTGAATTGAATGCCGTATGATATCCCAGAATGACTCGAGTAAAAAAAAATGACTGGCTGAAAATTGGATGTCAATACCCCGAATACGACGAACTAGTAAAACGAAAGGAATTCGCATCGAGATCCATTTGAACTGGAATGACCAAAGTACCTGAAAGAAATGTAGACATTGCCATCGGCTCGCCACCGATATTGTCCTGTCATCAAAGACGAATAAGATAATCCCATTCGAAATTGCTGCCATCCATTGCCAGAGAAGGCAACAGACGGTTTTTTAATAAAAAAAAAAATATAGCCGCGAATACCCAGGATATGTACCTACTCTCAGCTGTATCACACGAGTTTGCGAGAGTTTTTATATACTTGACAGCTTTTTCTTGTTCTCTGTCATTTTTTTTTGCCACCACTTCACCCAACAATCGCTCGTAAAGAGTTACGAGAGCCCTTTCTCCGGCTGGTGGGTTATAAAGGTTTTTCCTCACCAAAGTATCTCGTATACCCCCTGTTCAGTTACTCTGGTGTATTATTTGTCCGATACCACTGGTTATCCCCAGTATAAAACATCTTCCGCATTTTATGGTCAGACAAAGGAATTATTTTAGCATGAACAACTCCGGTTTCAGTCGTCCTGCCACTTAATCTTCATTTTTTTTTATCATTATTATATCGCAATTGTTCCTCAATGGTACCTATCCCATTCTGTACCTACGGATGCACATTATTACGAATGAATACTGTCATTGTCAATGGACAATTGTACATCACGTACTACTGATGACAGACTATTTGCGAGACACTGTACAAACAACTCCGCAACTCGTTGAATTATCACGTCTATGACCTCACAAAGTTCAAGCCAAAGTGTTGTACGTGACTCGTAATGTATTTTATGAACTCTTATAATACAACACTGTTGGACAATTAAAGTTTTAATTCTCATTACGCCTTTTGTTAACTTTTCAGTACATATTTGTGGTAATGGCGGTCTTAGGACTTGAAGCTGGTGTTGGGGTACTTGCTAGACTTCACGAAGAGCAAGTTGGTCCTGAAATGAGAGAGACACTCAATCGTACTTTTCTTGAATATTATTCCATGAGTTCACGGGAAACCGCAGCCATCGACCAGATGCAAATTGAAGTGAGTATCGAAAAATTTGTTAAAAATTTTTTATTCAATTTTTCATATAAAAGAAAAATATACGCGAAGAATATATTGAATATATTGTTATCAATTTTTTTTTTCTCCAATATGATAAATGACTCGAGAATCTATTTCCCTTTTTGTAATCAACAATGAATTTTTCTCCCACAGCAAAAACAAAGATGATAAATAAAAATAGCATCACCCGCAGTTGCTCCAACAATTTTTATCCCCCGTAAATCTAGGAATTCGCGGTTATCGGAGGTAGACTGCACGCGATAAATAAATTGTTCCCATTATTTTGAGCCATCTGCACCGGTGGAACAGATTTTTCATGAATACCGCAGTATTGTTTGGTTTATTAAAGAATATTGTACTGGCAATTTGTTGCGATTTCATGGAAACAATATTGAAAAATTGACAAAGTTGTAATGAAGTCTATTGTTGGTGCAGTTCAAATGCTGTGGGGCACGTAGATTCGAGGATTGGCTGGCAAGTGAGTGGTACAAGGATGAACAAGTACAGCGTGATGGAAGCCTTGTACCTGACAGTTGCTGTAAAACCCCAACATTGCTGTGCGGTAGACGCGATCATCCCTCTAATATTCAGTACACGGTGAGTCATTTGCATTCTCATTTTTTATGAATTAATTAAATTTTTATTTGCACATTTGTCCGTTATTATAGGGTTGTATATACAAATTTCTGGAGACTACTAAAGAGCATTTGATCATACTGGGTGCTGTTGGTCTTGGGCTCTCTGTTCTCGAGGTATTTGGAATAATTCTTGGCTCCTGTCTGTACATCAAATTAAGACACGACTTTGATGACTGAGAGTTACTTTATCACGAGGACAATAACAACGGACAGACTTGGTGTAGATATGCAGAGCATCGAATAGTCTGACAGGAGGCAGAAGCGTGACAGGGGATTTTACCCTTTGGTCACGCTTGATATCGCTCGATGGGAGTGTGAACGATTCATTCGTTCAATTGTCCTCGGCCAAATTAATTAATCAATGTGAAACGAGCATTGGTGAATCAAAAATGAACATGACTATTCATGATCGATTGGTGAATCTCAAAAGTGTCATCATCACTGTTTTAAATAGTGCGATACTGCCACCTAAAGTTATTGTATCAATACTGTAAAAACCACTTTTTTTTTCGTGTAAGAAAAATTACTCTAGGATTTGTAATACGAAAAATATTGTTAGACTGTGGGAGATGTCTCGTTTATCGAGTGACTAACGAATTACAAACGCACGACATATTTGCATCTTTTACGAAAAAAAAATTCTGTCAATTTCTTCAGTGCAGATTTCTCGTGGGAAGATAGTGAGGAGATTTGGGGCAGTTGGAGTCGGTCTTTCATAAACTTTTCATGAATTTTAATGGAAAAATGGTATTCAATGCAGACTAAACGCGTTAGGATTTTCTATTAAATTTTTCCGTACATGTGCGTGGAGCTGTCCTATCGATACTGCCAGGTGAAAGACGAATTTTATTCCCTAGCCAGAATGAAAAATTGAATTGAAATACAGTGGAGTGCTCAAACACTTTTTCTATCAATATGGAAACGAAATTGTACCAATCGTATTCGTTATTATGCGGAAGACTATTCAGTAAGATATGGAGAATATTGCGAATTTTCAATATGGAGTGGATTTCCCTCCGGAATACTGTAAATTGTAAAGGTAAAGAAGAATCGTACAGGAGTACAGCAGTGCCTTCTAATCAGTAAGAGAATTATTTTGAGCTGTAAAATGCTACAAACAGATGCCGAGTGAGTTGAATTTAGCCTCCAATCAGTATTTCATCGAATCGATTCTTTACAATAATTAATTTCTATGTTTTTACATTAATCAACTGTTAGATTAGTCATTGACAGCGTATATAGATTATACGTTACTGAATAATCATAAGTAGAGAAAAAATATTCGCGTATTGGAGGCACCGAATAGGTTCTCTCTTTTTTATTGCCATAAATAAAGTTGAAATTATTTTCGTTGTATTTTCCTTATGATAATCAATGCTAATAAAAGAGCATGCTTATTATAAATAATGTAAATACATATCAAACGATATATTGTTATTATCATGAATCTATAAAAGGATTGACAAAATATCCTCATGTTTTTAATTATTCAATAACACGACCTTTCATTTGTAAATTAATCCCTTTTCAAACTTTTTTGTTAGAGAAATAAAATAAAATGCACTTTCCTCTTTATTCTGTGTTACCATCTTCGTCCAAAAAATTGTAATTCATCTGCTACTGACTCATCGAGCAATTGTTCCTCTTCTTCATGACCGAACGATTAGAACGAACACCAACTGAAGATTCTCTACATTGTCAAATAGAAACGAGAACAATCAAGAAAATTTCACCCCAGATAATCCGAAAGTTGAAGTCAGTAAACACTCACGTGAGTCATGCTTGGAGATCGAAGATATTCAGTGGATAATGTTTGCCTTGATTTTTTAATTTAAATTCACAATTGAATTGGAATGAAAATATTTTCTTAACGCTGAGTATGACTTCGTAAGAAAATTGGGTCGAGCGTTGAGTATTTGAAATAATAAATGCAGTAAATTCGACTTTAAGCCTTTGATCTTATATTTCATCAAGTTTGTAATACAGTTTAACCGTATGTGTTATAAGTATAATGTAAAATAATAATGCTACAATAATTATACAATTAAGTGGTAATGCGATTTGACATGGTATTGACATTTTCAATGTTAGAGAAATCTTCGTCCACGAATAGGACGAGTTTTATTGAATTTAATAGCGTAACGATAATTGTCCAAACTTCTGTTGTCCTCCTGTGAGACCTTGGGGTAGTAGTTACCACTGTATTGTGGTGTAGGGGTGTATTTCCACAAGTCCCTGGTGTAGGCAGATCTGTCCTTGATGAGAGCGAAGTAGTCCCAGAGGAGCTTGAAGGTCGCGTTCTTGTCTAACTCCTCGCAGCAGAAGTGGTCTGCCATCTTGGGCAGAAGATCGGGGAACATAACAGCTAGGCTGTTATCAGGGGTCTCGCCGACATTCGAGGAATTACCAGAGGTCGACTTTGACTTTGAGGTAGTCCTCTTCGAAGAACCCTTGGAGGTAGTCTTTGAAGAACTCTTAGAGGTAGTCGTCGTTGAGGTATCCCTGGAGGTAATCTTTGAAGAACTCTTAGAGGTAGTCGTCGATGAGGTACCCTTGGAGGTAGTCTCTGAAGAACTCTTAGAGGTAGTCGTCGATGAGGTACCCCTGGAGGTAGTCTCTGAAGAACTCTTAGAGGTAGTCGTCGTTGAGGTACCCCTGGAGGTAGTCTCTGAAGAACTCGTAAAGGTAGTCATCGTTGAGGTACCCCTGGAGGTAGTCTCTGAAGAACTCGTAAAGGTAGTCATCGTTGAGGTACCCCTG